GGAGGGTTGAACGTGTGTGCTGGGGGGGAGGGGGGGGGGGGGTGAGGAGGTTTGGTTAGGTTGATTGGGTTTGTTTGGTTTTTTTTAAGGTGATTAAAAAAAAACCAAAAACAAAGTGTGTCATTCAAGCTGTGGTATGCTATGTGTGCTCATGCTATTACAAACATAATATTGTAGTAAGAAGCTGTGGTGCATGAAACTTACTATAAGCAAGTAAAGATGGACAATAACAAACTTATTCTTCATAGGATGGAAGCAGTCACTGGGGTACAAAGCTGACAACATGTATGATGTGAGCTTGATCTGTGAAGAAGACTTACTGACCACTATCTTCTGTGCATGTGACACAGAGCATACAGGTTTGCCAGTGGCTTTTCATTGCTCTGTTTTGTTCTCCTCTCAGCACGTTTTCAAGGCTGAGATTGTCTTACAGATCCCAAGATGTGGCAATCTGTGATTATGCTTCGACGGACTGGCTACCTTAGCTAGGTGGCTGTATGTGTGGTAGATGCAGAATAAATATCTCTGCCTCTTTTGCATGGTGCCTGTCTCTTCCCTTCCCACCCTCAGCTGATCTTTGCTGTATTTTAGTGCAGAGGAAGTAAAGGAGCAACATGCTTCTAGCAATCAACCTTATTGGAAATGATTGTTTATTTCCTTTTGGCTTTTTCCTGTTAGAAAAGAGAACTTTGGGAATCTTCAGAGCAAGAGATAATTCTTCTGAGTTCCACCTCAAACATGACTAAAAGTGGAGTGCAGCAGAGTAAGATAACGTCAGTCACAGGGTTTGCTCAATTTGGTGAGAGGCCTGAAGGTAGTACCATAGCAAATGAGGCAAGTTTGTTTTTCTTAAACAGAAGTTGACAAAACTGATAAACCCAACTTTCACACTTCTGTATTAGAAGACACAAAAGCTCTAAACTGTTCCTTTCCAGGCCACTCTAAAACTGCAGGAATCAGTTGCTTGTCTACAGCTCTCAAGGGCAATTGAATATGCACTAGTGCACACCCCTTTACAGCTTTTTACAATGGCCTACTGGACTTCAGAGTCTGGTGCATGGAAACCTGTATCTATTTTAGGAAAAGTGGCAGTTTCCAAGATAGTTGATTATTTGAGACATACAACTAGTCGGGGATTGGAAGACAGCGGTCTTGAAGAGCTGTGCAACATGCTTGACCCAGATCAGAAAGATGTCTCCATGGACCTGGAAACGTATCATGCCATCATGAAAGAGTGGATTGAAGACTGTAAGAGAAAATGGTAATAGCTTTTTTATCAATCTATCTTGTAAAAGCTTCTGTGAAAACAGGAGAGTAGAAAGTTCTCCTGTGGTTTGTGCCTTCAGTACTCTGGAACAAAGATGGTATCAGGACATTGTGACTGCAGCGTGGGTTTTGGCTGAAAGCTTTTAAATGTTACAAAGTTGGTAAGCAATCCAGTGTCATACTGATTTTGTGACTTGATGCTTCCTTGTTTCAGGGAAAATGATGCCACTGAGGAACCAACAGCAAGCATGGAAGACCTGGAATTTAAAGTGCTTAAAAACACCTCTGAAGGTGCAGCCCATTTTATTCTGTTTTTATTCAGGAAAACTCCACTTTCTTTCTCTATAACCAAAACCTCCACCTCTTTCAGCAAAAAAGACACATGTCCGGATGAATGTTACATCAGGAAGCTTGGAGGCCTTTGGGGGTGATGTGTCTAAAGGAGACATGTAAGTCCATTCAAGCAATTCTTTCTCAGAATTTAGTGCTCCTAGCTTTGAATTACTTGAGAGCAATTCCTAGAACCACTGTTTCAGAAAACTATCTTGGCAGAGTTTCTAATGCTTACCTCGGTCTGCACTAGCTCTTGATGCTATCACGTTCTTCCTCACAGCTTCTGCTCAGACTTAAAAATACTAGCAATTTTTCCTACTGATATCTTGGTCCTTCTGTATGCATTTGCCTTTTTAATTCCCTGTGGTCAGAGTTCTGTCATGTGTTTCTTTTTAAACTGGTTCCTTCCCTCTCCCAAGTTCTTAGGTGTATGACAATAGAAGACACGATCTCCTGAAAATCTGGTCCTTGGTTTTCTTTGTTTTTTTTTTAATTTTTTGTAGTCATACTCTGACCTGAATTCTGTTAATAGCAAAGCACTCGACAAACACCAGAAGTTCCAAAGATAACTTTTGCATTTTATGCATAGTCTAAAATGTTAAGGTCTGCTTTCTGATGCTTCCCTGTTGTTTCTCAGGATCTCAAAAGGGTCGTCCTTGTTCAAGTTTCAGCTGAAAGCATAGTGGGGGATGATTTAGCGGAAAAGAAAGGATCCAGAAATCGTGGAGTCAATACAAAAGTATTGTTGGTGGCCTAAGAGGTGATTAACAAAGGCTTAAGATACTGTCATGCAGACACCCAGATGTGGCACTTGTCTGGTGGCATACTTTAACTGCAGGGAGCATAAAAAAAAAAGTGCTTAAAAACAAAACAGTTCCTGGTGTCCATAGAATTAGAGAACTGCTCTGAAGATGATCCGATATCTCTGTGCAGGGCAAATGACTGTACACTGCAGCGTTACAAGTCCTCTGTGGGCTCTCTTCTTGCCTCTCTAATCAGTGCAGCACAGCATCAGAATTTTCAAAAAGTCTACATTAGATCCAATCACCTTTCTTAATATTTTCTGGTTTTGTTACTGGAACAGGGAGACTTCTGACTTGATAACCTGTGTTGCGGACCTACAGTACAACAACCAGAAGCTTCAGGAAGAGAACAGTAAGCTGAAGCTCACACTGGAAGCTCTGGATGAGACCAACAATAAGCTATTGGCAGATAATGAGCATCTACGGAAACAAATAAAAAGGTGGGAGACCCTGGTGGCACCAGGTCTACCGTGTAATGGCCATGGGCAGACCTGTCGTCTTCCAAGTGGTCCAGCCTTGCTTTATGCTTTTAGCCTCACCGGTGCTTTATGACCGCAACTTTGTTGACTTAATATAGTATCTGTAAGGTTTAGCTCTCTTGCCTGATTGTTCTGCTCTGTACCTCCTGGTTCTTTACAAAATCAGTCATTCATCTTATAGCCTGGCTCTTGCAGCATGAGGTGCTGTGGGTGCACACAGGCAAAATCTTAGGGTAAAGCAAAATCAAGCAAACAAAACAAATTACCAAAAAAAACCCCAAGGCTTAATATTACCAAGAGAACAGCTGAGCGCTGGAAGGCTTCCAATCCTAGACCGCATATTTGTTGCCAAGCAGAGGGGAAATAAGCACGTAAGAGCTCTTTTGCTAGTCCCTTGAGGAACTAAAGTGAGTTGTCTCGCTAGCTTAGTATTGCTGCAGCCTGGGGACCCATCAATGCCACAAGTACAAACCTATTTTTACAGTGAGTTCATAATGCTCATCTGACCCTTTTAATTCAAATGTGATACAGTTATGTCAACTGCCAAACCATTCCCAGTATCTTCTGGGGAAGTTAAGGCAAGAGTCCTGCAGTGTAGCTGGCATGAGACACATGCCCTCATGTTGGACCATGTGCTCAGGGATGCTCTGCAGCCTAGAGCTAGCCAGGAAAAGGGCCTTGGCCCATTGGTTAAATATACATTGTTTGGAATATCAGATCAGGATAAGAAAATGATGCAGAGCTTATCCTTGAAAACTGAACTGAAATGGTTTCCATAGCTGCTAACAATGAAGTATTGTAAAGATGAGTTTGTGTGCTCAGGTAACCTGATATATTTGACTGCAACGAGCTAGATTGTTAGGTGGATGCACACAAAAGCATGCTGTCTTGGATGCTGTGTTTGCCTGGGTTTCTTCCCTTACTGTGAGAGCAGAAGGGGTTGATAAATAGAGGGTAAGTCCATGAGCCTTTACTTACTGGACAAAAATGATGGGCTTAAACTTGATTGTTGCTCTTCTGTTAAGTATCTGTGCCAAAGAATGAGTCCCTGGTGACTTCTAAAAATACTGTTCTTGGTATTTCAAGCCTATCTAATGACCAACAGTAACTCGCTAAAGTTTCTCTGGATTTACTTCCCCCCACGCAGCATCCAGCATTCTGTGCTGAAAGCCAAATCACTGGAAGAAGAACTAGAAGAAGCAAAAAACAACCTGAACCTGTCAGAAGAGAAGAGACAGCAGATTCTCTGCCAGAATAAACAGCTAGTAGGTGCTTTTATTTCTTAGCTTACATTGTACAGCGTCTCATACCTTGCTGTAACAATGGCATGACCTCTCAGACTGTAAAAATCAGCAGTATGACCTCCTCTGTACCAGTAGGTACTGAGGCTTTTTGAGGATGTTTGAAATGTGATTTATTAGTGTTATGAAAACACTGTAAAGTGTTGGTTTTTTTGTTTTTGTGTTGGTTTTTTTTTTTTATGGAAGTTTCTTTAAACTATTGTCAGTTACAATGAAGAAAACAAGTAAAAGGTCCAGTCTCACATATAATTATGCTTAAAGACAACAGCTCTCACGCTGCCATCATTGAACCCTGTCTGCTTTGAAGTTGGTGATGTTCTGCCAGAAATTCATGTGACTTTTCTAGAACCAGCAGGGACAGGAGACTTGGTTCAGATGTCCACACGAAAGAGTCATCAACCAAAACACTCCTAGGTTATTGTCAATGTCCGTATGGGCTGGCAGATATGACAAGGGCCTGTCAGAAACCTGTCCATTCTGGACTGACAGCTGGAAGCCAGGCAGCACACCTTGGCATGTCTCAAAGGGCACGAGCTGCCTACATGAAAGCATCTGAATTACACCGCAGGTGTTTGAGTAGCAAAGCCTGTGTGATTGTAAGAGGTGTAAAGCAGCCTGGTAACAAGGCTGATGTGGCTGCAGCTTTAGCAGGTGTTGCAGATACCAGAGCATAGGCTCTCTGGAGAACATATGTTTGTGTTGCTGCCATGCATGCTGTTCATGCTACAGTGGCAACTCTGTGTCTCGCTGTGTGGGTGTAGCTCTACATCGGTGTTCCAGCTCTGTGCGCTGCTGATGGTGGGTATTTAGAAATCAAAAAAGTCTTCCATGCTGAGCAAGAACACAAGATTTTGGTGCTATCCTGCTGCAGTGTGTGTATAGTTTTGTTTTGTTTTAATTTCAGATTACATACATAATTCACCTTGTGAGAAGAAGATGGGATGGGAGGGAGAAATATTATTAGAAGTTTTGTAGTTGAGCTTACAAGTCCCCTAGTTGCTGTTCCCTGTGCAGTGGAGGCACCAAACGGGATACCACTACCTTTCTTCATGTCTGATATGAAAAAAACATAGCGTGGCATATAGGCTTTCTGGATTTATCTTAACTCGAGCACAACTAGACTTGCTAACTCTGGCCTTGAATACTTCCTTCCTATCATCTAGTGGTCTGACTTTTACTCTGATTTGAAATGCCTGTGTCAAACCTGTCAGTGAGGGTTCACGAGCTGGACTGGCCTCAGCACTCCCCTTTTTGCTGTGCTCTCTGAAGCAAAGGAATGTAACACCACAGCTTCATATCCAGGGCCCAATACCCAATATGAAGATGTGTTTGTGATGTGTTACTTTTTGGCTTAGTTTGGCTTTGAATATTGAACTTGACATGCTAAAAACAACTACTAACTACTTTGGTTCTCTCTTTTTTTTTTTTTTTTTTTTTTTGATAAACCTGATCAGGAAAAAGAAAATCAGTCTCTCATCGTCAAAATTACTTCTCTTCAGGAAGAGGTAAAATAAATCATGACTTTGCAAGTACGTGTTTTTGTCTCACTAAAAGCTCACCAGTAAGAAATGAAATGTTTGTCAGACTTTGAAGCCTGACATGGTAATTAGGTTATCAAAATATCTTATACTTTACAAGGGTGACTTATCATAAAACTTTATATCTTGAAGTTGTACTGTGCTTCAGACTTTCCGTTCGCTGGGTAAGTAAGGATACAACATTGGGGAAGCATGGGGGATAGGGACAAACAGCTTTTCCCCTCTTTTTCAAAGCTTTATACACAAATTCCAAATATTCCTAGTTAACACAGCTATAAATATGCTAACTATATTGAAACAATCTCCATCCAACACTTTTTAATTTCATATTCACTTCTGTTTCCCTCCTTTAAGATCCAAAGGAAATGCCTTGTACAGAGCTGTAACCCCAAAAAAAAAAAAAAAAAAAAAAAAAAAATGCAGTGGCTGGGGGCTGCACTCACAGATGGATCCATTGACATTGGCCAAAGACCTACAGGAGGCTTGTAGGGAATATACTGCTAATGGAGCTGTATCTCTAGGCTGTCTCTTTTTTTTGTTTTGTTTTGTTTTTTGTTTAGAGAAGAGCTATTAATTCTTACTTTCTTGTATTTATTTCATTAAAGTAAACATTTTAACAAAGTTTTTTTTATCAGGTGATGTTTTAATACTTGCTTACAGCCTGTATTTTGGACTATTTAGGATGAAATAGAGAAACAGGTTAAATCATACATAGTAATGAAAAGAAGCACATCATGGATTCAGGAATCTGTTACCTATTATAACAACATAATAGTCACAGTTTGCATGTTTACCATGCTCAAGATGAGTCTTTCCGAAAAGCTCGTAAGTCCAAATAGCTATTAAACTGCAACATTCCAAAAATAATCCTCATGCTGCGGGCCTGAAAGCTTTTCTTTAGCTTTCTAGGTCTGGTAGTTCTTATAAGTCACATTTTGAGGTTTACTCTTTTAACAGTGCTCTGGAGAAACAGGGGAAAAAGGAGCAGAAACAGTTTCAAGTGGGGCAAGGACATACAATGTCTGTGCATAAATGCTGGTAGTGCTTGAGAGTAGGCAGTAGCTTGGGGGTGGAGATATCATTTTTGTCTAGTTTCTTCAAGGAGAAGCTGTCTATCCATTCAGCTGTGCCTAAACACTCTGTATCTTGTTCAGAATATTAGGAATAACATGGACACCGATGAACTTCAAAAGAAGATTTTGGAGCTGTCTAAAAATACAGCAGAGCTTCAAGTAAGCATTTCAACTCTAGGAGTAACAAAAAGACAGCCTATAGTTTACTCAGGTCTAGTGAGGGAAATGTCTGCCTCTGGAAGGTAGACAGCCCTGAACCTGTCTGTAGTAAAGAACTGCAGCACTATCGTAGCTTGGACAGTATGACAGCTTTGACTGAGAACGCTGCTGTCTGGAGGCTAAAAACTGGGCTAATATAAACAATCCACAGTTTCATTCTTTCCTCTAAGTTAAACTTTTAGGAAATCTTTCCCTCGCTCTTTGAGAAAATCTATTAGAAAGTCACGCTTTGGCTGATGTTGCTGAAACTGTTAGCCTGCACAGACAAGAGGAAACAAAGGTGACTGAAAGCTGGGAACGCTTTCCCTTTTAACTGTGTGCAAGGTTTGAACTTTGAAACACGCCATGCAAGCTATTCAAAGCAGGATTTGATTTTTCTAAGCAAGGAATCTTGATACCCTTTTCCCCTTCCAAGTAGGAGATAGGAACAGGCTCGTATTATAGTGCATATTGATGACTGGAATTATTTTTGATCTTTTCATTCTTTAGATCCAAGCACGTATCTATGAGAGCACCATGGTGAATAAAGAGGCAAGCTTGATGCAGGTTAGTTGCTTTTACTTTGTTACTGTCTTGACTGAAAATACTGGTTATGGGATGATTTGTAAAAAAGCAAGGCAATAGTCTTCACTGTGGCACTTTTATTTCTACTGTTCTCACACTACAGAACCTGATCCTATAAATGGCTTCAAAGTAGGCGAGATCTGCTTTAGGACCTGGTTATGAGTCAGCATAATTAAAGGTTTCAGGATTCTGCTTTTATTTTAAAAAAAAGAAAAAAATTATAACATATTAAAACAAAACAAACTTGCAAACTTCAGAAAAACGTACAGAAACTTCTAAAGGCTGCCTCCTTCAACAGCTGGTAAAAGAATGTACCTGCAGAAGATCCTTCCCTTCGTGTCTTTTACTTAAATTGCTCAGTTTTTGTGTCAAACTAGAAGTAATGATTCAGAGCCCAATGGAAAAGCAATGTTGCCCTTTCTCATTACTGAGGTGTAATTATCTAGGCTTTGCTGAAGAGCGAACGTTTCTGATGTTGTTTTTAAACTTGTATATTATATTAGAAAACAAAGACGTAAGACTACGTAAGGGTGTTTGGCATTCTCTGGATTCATGAATTATGTAAATAGCCTTCTAGGCTAATGGAGTTTCTGTTTAGCAGAACATGTTCTAAATCAGCTGATGAAATATTTGACTATTAGGCTGTCTGCAAAAATGAGTGCAGCTGAATTAAAACAGTGACAAGAGTGATCCAGCTGATAATTTCGTAACTGTGTTTTTTAATAGGTTTTTTTGCCAGAAGCAACTTAAGGGCACAAATGAACTTTTTTTTTTTTTTTTTAAATAGCTTTCACTTTCTCCTTCTTGAATGATTCAAATCTTTCATGGCCTTTGTAGTATCCTTTTATTTTAAAAAGGTCTTCTTAGTCTATTGACTAAATGGGAATTTTGAAAGCAGTCTGCTAGATTGGATGTTCTTGTAGATAAAGGTGACTGGTTTGTATAATCTTGAAGAAACTGGTGTGGAAAACTCACTTCGCTTCTTGGCATTAGGATCTGTGGGGTAAGGGTTTACTAAAAAAAACCCTTTTATAGCTCTTTATCCAAAGGTAGATTGGGTAGGATTGATGGTCACTGAAAATTTTTATGGCAACCTTTCTTTTCCACGCCTGCAGAAGGTATGTGAAGAAAACACTTTAATTTTCTTCCTTTAAAAACCTTCAGCACCATACATCATTTGCCTCTGCCGAGGCTGGAAACTTGGTTCTATAACCTCACTTTTCCTGCTTAGCTTTTTATGTATTTCATCTCTTTCAAAAACCTCAACTATTTTTAAAGAGGAGGAATAGGAAGAAGTCATAAAAGGGATGAGAGGACCAGAGCTCCGATTTGAAGTTCCTGTTTTCTCTAAAATTGCTCTGCTTGTCTGTGCAGCATCTTCTATAGTAATAACATGACTGAAGCCATTGCCAGTTTGTGATGCTAAGAAAGCTAGTACTTCTGCTAACTCCTCAGTCTTACCATGAGGGTTGAAACATTCTCTGTCAGCCCTTCTATTAGGCGGTGCTTAATCTGCAGAGCCCTACACTCTATGCCTTTAATCATGAAAACTAATGAGAGTAAACTTGGAACATTGCAACTTGTTTTAAGGGTTGCTTGGGATTAAAACTTGTGCCAGGCATAATATAGTCCAGGTTTTCAGCTAAAACTAGGGTGCTTCTGTCTAGTTTAATCTGCTACTGCTGGTACAGGAACCAGGTAAGTAATAAATTAAAGCACAGCATCTGGAAAGAGTTTTTCTGTCTCCTTAATTTTAGGAGTTACATAGAAAAGGTCTTTTGAGTGCTTTCTGTTAGCCAATATGCATGGTAATTGACTGTATTCTTTTAAATTTGCAACTATTTTTATGTTATATAATCAGATTGCTGCACAAACCTACAACTTACTGCTGTGATGCAGGATTGAGTATAGTGTTATTTTGGTTACAAAGCGTCATAGCTGTAAGTATTACAAATGCACTTCAATGTGCTAGTTGTTGGGTTGTGTGATTTAAAGGTTCTTTTCTCCACAATCTCTGCAGAAGGAGCAGGACATCAAAGAACTGAAGTTAACCGTTGTGGAGTGTTCCTCAGTAATAGAGGTATGGGACCAAGTTCGTTTTTTGACTGTGTGAGGGGAAAGCATGCATATTCTACGCTTATTCTGCATGACAAACTAACATTCTAACCAGGTCTGATGTTATGTTTTAGACTTTGCGGGCAGAAAAAAATAAGCTATTGGAGAACATGCAACACATGCAGCAAGAGCTGATCTCGTGAGTATTGTGAACAAGTCCCAGGAAATGCAGTTCATCAAACGTCAAAACAGGCTGATACGTATTTTTTTTTTTTTTCCTCTTCTTTTAGAAATGGGTTGAGTTTCCCATTGATGAGTAAATTAAACAGTAATATTCCTGAAGGGATGAATTCACTGCACTGTGAACTGGAACTTGCTCAGTCTTCTGAGGTATGAATCAAATCTTTATTGACTCTCATCGCAGTTGTCTTGTACCAGTAAAGGAAGAACAAAGCGCGTTCCCTGTAGATCATTAGATAACCCTAGGATGCGAAGCCATTAATTCTAGCACGTAAGCATAGAATGTGAAGGTTACAATATCGTCCCAAGTACATTGGAGAAAGTCCAAAGAAAAGCAAACAAAACACTCGGAGCTCTAAAAAAAATGAGACATACAAAGTAAATCTGGAAGAGCTAGGGTTATGCATTTAGCTGGCAGAAGAATAGACTGATAGGAGAAGTTATGAGTTTTCAAATATATAACAGCTATTATGCTGAAGAAAGTAACGGTCTGTTTCTTCTTATGCTGCCAACACTGGACACAAACAATGATTTTCAGTTGCAGGAGGGGAAACTTCTGAAGTCTAACGTAATGAAAAAGAAAATTAAGCATCTTGACAAGGCTGTAGAGTCTTCATCTAATGAGTCTGGCACAGACTGACAAAATCTTAGTATTGTAGCTGAGCCTGTTGGTTTGGAGTTACAATGTCCCCTGTGTCTTCTGCAGAGCACGCAGCAGGTGGTTTGGTGGCTTTTGGGAAGTACGCTATTGATCAGACACACTTCACATAACACTGGAAGTTTGGTCTCTAATTTACTGTTCTTATAGCTTTCCAGCACTCCAATGAAGAACTACTTGAAAAAAAAACAATTTACATGTACATTACAGTTTTGGCTCAGATTTTTATCTTAGCTATTCTGTGCCCATTTCCCTAAAGGCATTCCATGGAGTCCCATCCTTCCTTACAGTGCCGTCTTCCCTTCAGATGCAAGCTGTGCAGCAGAGCTGATAACAAATATGTGCTATTGCAGTGATTTTTCTTGTAAGACTTCACCGTTCTGCTACTTGCTTTTGTATGTGTGAAGAGTTAGCATTTGCAACAGGAAAAAAAAAAAAGTACTAATGGACTAAAACTACAGGCCCAGAAATGGGAGGTATACTTGGCTAGGCAGCTCTGTTTCAAAAGTAACGTATTGTCCCTTATTGCAACTCCCCACAGCCACAGTGAGTCACTGTGTTTACCTCTCAAATGCTGTAATGAGACACAATTCTACCAAGTCACCTGTAAAGCAACTAAGGGCTCTGCTTATTCATCACTTGGTAGAGCCTCTTCTGAATAAAGATAGCTAATTATTGACTTCCTCTTGCCTACTCCTGACATGAAAATTTACATTGGATCACTCAGCAGCTTGGCTGGCCTGCTTTTTTTAAATCCCCATGACATGATGGTTTTGAAAAGCTTTTACAAGCTTCAAGTTTCAGTAACTCTGACCTTCTGGTAAATACGATGCAGGGATACTTCAGGAAAGTCTAAATGTCACTGATGCTGGCTTGTAATAAGGAGATGTCAAAATAAGCTAGCTGGCTCTTCCATCTCTTCAAAGATTACCAAGACTGAATGGACGTCCCTGGATGAAACACTGGACCGTGAAGTGCTGTTTTTACTTCAGGGACCTGAATATGCGGGAGAAAAATTTAAGACTATCATGCAAAACCTGGTCAGTGGCAGAGCTTCTGTGAATAAGGATATTGTCTTCTATCAGCCTTTTAACTAGGATTTCTCCAAGCACTGATCATCATGTTTACTCTTTTTGAAAAAATAAGAATAGCTTCTTTGGGGGTGGAGATGGGGGCATACTTACTCTAACAATATCGCTTGGCACCTACTCAAATACTGTAACTAATAACCTGGGTAATTCTGGGCAGCATTGTGTCAGATTAGTACTAGAAATGCCGGGTTTGATTTTTTTTTTTTTAATCCCCTTCCCATCCCCCCAGCAAGAGGAAGCCTCTGAAGCAGAGGAGCTTGTCATGACTTCTTTACAATGGGTAAAAGATCCTGATGTGAACATGCAACAGGCTTGGGAAAGAAAACTTGTGGTAAGTAACTTTCTCTGAAGCTATTTTATGAAATAGTGGGGCTGTGCAAAAACGGAAGGTGGGTATTTTACTGCTGCATGCTATGGATATTAATTACTTGAGATCATAGCAGTCCATTTGGGGGTCAGAAATGGCTGTATGGAGAGAAATATCTTTTGTAACTTTTTTTTTGAGGAGGAGGAAGGGGATGATTGCTTTTCACTTAAATGCTGTGCTTTTCCTGACTTGTCTTGTGCAAGATCTCGCTTTATTAAAACTATTCTTGAAGGAAAGGGTAGATGAAGCAAGTCAATTTGAAGAGGAAAATGAGGTCAGATGACAACGCTATATTGTGTGAGCCATGAAGATTTTCTGCCCACTCCATGTTTCTGTGTGCTTCAAGCACCTATTTTCCTGTGTGGTCTGAATCTATGGTAGTGAACAGTTTCATCATCAAGAGGAGGAGGGAGGTGGCTTTATAACCAGATTTCCAGATCAAAACCTTCATAGGGTTTGCTTTCTTTTGAAAGGCAAAGTGTTCTGCTTTTGCTGGACACGCTCCACAGGAAAAGTTTCTATAAAAACATATTGTATAACTTAATATTACATAATGTATTTCTACTATTCTTCATACTTCTTGTGAGGTTTGAAAGTAAAGACTTTTGCTCAAGGTAACTGGCAAAAATAACTTCCTCATGTGGTAGCTGCAGACTGCGGACACAGCTCAACTCTCTTGCTCTTGTTCTCTCCTCCCCTCCCATGTAACAGCATCTTACTGGATGTAGCTTTTTCTCTAACCTGCTCTTTCTTACTGATCTGTTGTTAGGAACACTGCTACAAAAAACTCCACCAAACAGTATACTAATGCTGTCTTTTGGCTCATTAATAGATGCAAAACCCTCAATTCATCCCACTTGGGTAATAGCAGGTGGCACCACAGTACGTGCTGCTTTAAGCTGTTAGCTCTTAAGCAGAAAGCTACCCTTCTTTTCCTCTAGTGCTGCAAAATGTTGTAGCTGCAGCCAGCTTTTTCATATTTTTCTTTTCTATGTGAATCCTGAAAGCTTCCCTTTAGACAAGGTGCAAGTGTCTCAGTCTCTTCACCCGGGTGTGACTTTGGGTAGACTCTAGGAAACTGCTGGCACATGCATAGCTGTAACTTTTTGATCTTGACCAAAAACTTCTTCCTTCAAAGCTATCACAGATGAAAAATGCTTGTTAACTTACCATTCGTGTTGGGATCGTATTCCTGTTAAACATATGAAGCTAAAAACTTTTGGCGTGGGTGTTGGAGTTGATCATGGCAAATGAATCCTATTCTGGCTCCTAGAGAGTGATGCATTTGGAAACTAAGCTAACAGAGGATCAAGGAAGAACAAGATTCTTTAAAAATAAAAGGTCCCATCCTTCTGGGACCCATGGAGTTGGGAAGTGACTTCATGTCAAACACATTGTCTTCACCTAGCTAGGACAAGCCAGATACTTGGGAAATAAGGTATATGGAGCTGAACAACAGGAAATCCAAAAAAAAAAAAAAAAGAAGGATTCAAAGTAGCTTCTTCCACCCTTAGAGAAAGCTTTTGTAGGAAAATGAATTAAATCTTGGACCATGCACTATCACTTGAAGCCTAAACACTTCCCTACCATTTCCTGTGAAATACATTATGGACATGTTTTGCTAGGTTTTAGTATTTTAAAGTATATTATACATAAAGGAAATTTTAAGTGTGCCTGTGGTTTTTGTATATATATACATATATTTAAGCATATACAGACAGTGACAGTAAAAACTTTTTCACCCTTCTCCTGCTGGAAGAGAAGACTGTGACACATGTGCCCTGATCAGTCTATACCACTTTTGTGTCAAAACCATGCTATTTCTAAGAGCAAGTGCTGCTTGTTCCTTGGCTGAGAAACTAATCTTCAGGATTTGTGGGCATTTGCATGTGGTCACATCCCATGTCATCCCAGTAAACCTATCTAGCAAAACTGTTCAAGTTCTCTTTTTTTTTTTTTTTTTTTTTGTAGCGTGATACTTGATGTGCTACTCTCTTTTTGTTTGAGGCTCATGAACAACATTAGACTCTAACTTGCAAGTAGGTAACATAGCCCACATTTGTAGGATAGATGTTTTCCCCTTTGAACTAATGTAAAATCTCAGAAATATGAACCTCATTCTTACCTGACCTCTGTTTGACTCTCATTAAGCATTCTTTAAAAGCTGAGGGCTCTATTTTTCTATGCTCAGTTGAACGAGGTCAGAGAAAGAGGACTGGATTCTTCTTTCTCAGTACTCTATACTGCAAGTCACTGTTCAGAGAAATACAGAGGATGCAGTGTTACTTACCACTTCATTTTTACCATCTTCCCCTTTTTCTTCCTACAAATCGGAGGTAAAACTGAAAGCCTTTGCCACAGGGGTCATCCCTTGGACAGGTTTCATCTGCTAGGCATGTATGACAAACTGAAATACGGATTTATTCGTTTGTTTTTTGTTTTTTTTTATTTTGCTGTAGTATGAACCCAAATTGGTGCCAATTGACTTCGTTGTACTTTGAGGAAAGGGTCACAGAAGCCTAAATTATTAATTTTAGGGCTTCCTGCAAGATGGTCATTATTAAAACTTCCCCTTATGAAATATGTTTTTTGTTGCTGTATCTGGGCATCTTGTGAAGGAGGTTTTTTTGTGGTAAGTTGTAAAGACTCCCTTGTGCATCATGTAATCTTCTGCCTCACTTACTGTAAATACTTGCTAACTGTATATTTGTTTTACAAAGGATAAAGAGAAAAAGGACTATCTGTGTACCCTAGATCAGCCCAGAAAGAAAGGCTGAGAGTGGCTTTTGACTTAGAAGTAACCTTTTGAAAAAAGTGGGAGCCATTTGTCAAATTGAACTAGCATGCGGAACACTTACATTTTTCTTGTCTAAACTGTTACGCATTGCTCCATCTTAAAGTCTTAAAGTACCAACACTTGTCAGGAGTCTAGCCTGTCTGTCCCCGCATCCTGGCAGATTCAGGAGTTAGAAGGCACAGGTGTGAAGTTTAGGTTAGCCTATTAGACTGCACAAAACACTGTTTTGTACAGAACAAACACCCGTTTCTCCTTTATAGTCTTCTCCTTTATAGTCTCTTCCTTATTAAACTGTGTTTTTTCCTCATTTCTCTCTCTCTCTTTCCCCTTCCCCAGCCAGATGTTGTGTGGGTAGATTACAGAATATTGTCAATCATCCACCTTCTTTATTGCTGATAGCATTGGAGGTAGGTGATGATACTAAATGGTGGAGCAGGGAAAACAATTTTCATCATGTAAATTGGGTCTCTGGTTTACTCTCTGGCTCTGCTCCTCATCTAACCACGTGGCAACGCAGTTTCAAAATTCTACAGGTTCTCAAGCAAGAACTAGGAGAAAAAAGACACCTTTGGATCCAGAAACTTAATCTCTTGGAAAAATACAAAGAATCCCTAGATAAGGATTTTATTCGAATGGCGAGCAACCTGAGGAGAACTAAGACAGAGCAACTTCACCTAAGGAAAAAGCTCCATGCCAGGTACCCCTTCAAAGCACGTGTGTCTCTTTTTGGTTTATTTTGTTGATGGTGGTTGCTTAGCTGTTTGGTGGGGGTTTTTTGTGTTGTTTTTGGGTTGGGTTTTTTGTCTTGTGGAACAAAGTTTACTGAATTCTGAAGACCTTTTTCGCAGAGGAAATTATCTGCTGTTTTGGAGAGTGGATCTGGTTTTTAGCATAATGTTACACTATGTGGGAGTTAAGGTTTGTGTATGAAGTAACATATGATCTTGGAGATGTCTTTGAAAACACCAGAGACCACAGACTGAGCAGTTAAAGAAAGAGGGCACTGTCTATCTAGCAGGTGTAACCTTTAAATAAACTGCTGGTTTTGTGTGAAGCAGGAGACCTGTAAAATATATGCCTGCAGGTTTTATTGCTTTGGGAGACAACTGCTAGTCCCAGACGATATAATGCCTCAGTTTCTCAAGGGTATAGCTTCAATTAGTTACCTCATTAAATATGAAAATATAACTTTAAATTTTAATTTATTGGTGCATGGTTCCTACTATGAGTTTTGACATGACAAATATGGCAGTAAAAGACAGCAGGTGTAAACCTCTGCCTGCTCGCCCTCCTCAGACATTCAGGAAAGTAGCTAGGTTTTGGGGTTTTTTTTGCCAGAACAACTAATCCAAATTTGTTGTCTTTGTGGAACCCAGGCTTACTCATAGTGTCAGCCTTCTGCTGTCCTACGCTAAATGTAAATTTTTGCACACATGCTTTTACCTGGGTTTGGGGCGTAAGCAGCCTCCTAGGGCTTTGCATCCCTGACAGCTAAAGCGGAGCAGTCATACTGCACTTTTGCCTGACTTACCTTCCCCTTCATGTTGTTAATGTAGACCTCCCACATGCTCTCCCTTCACTCGGAAAAGAGCTGATAAAAATACTGATGGCTTAGTTTTTTAAAGCTGCTTCTCTGTATCAAAATTGTTTGTGGTGGTAGCAACACGAAAAAAAAAACATGTGAAGGTGAGTTAGAGAAGAAATGCACAAAGAGTTTCTGCAGTGGAAAAGAAGGGGTTCCTTGAAAACCATCATCTTTACCACTAGTTCTGATGGCATCTGCTTGCTGTCAAGTGAAACATCCTCTGAAACACTGGGAAATTAACCTGATGAAGTTGTGTATCTGCAGTAATAGCTCCAGGGTATCTTTTCTAGAATGATTCACTCTATATCTGATTACTGTTTCTCCCAAACCATGAGACAATGCATTCTTTTGACTTAATTGCAGAAGTTTGCCCCACTAAGCACTTGCTCTTTGAGAGTTCTCCGGATAGTCCACAAACTTCCACTATGGTACCCAGCTGGCTGGGGCTGGCACAGCCGTTGCACTGTTCAGCTGGGGAGAAATGAGGGAAAACCTCCATCCCCTTCCCGATTCTGGCGCTGCTATAGGCTTGTCTGCCTACTGGGTTGAACTGTGCTTAGCAAGAATGAAGTCCCTGGTGCTGGATCCTGGGGGGCTGCAAAATGTAACAGCTGAATGTGGTTCTTGATGCATGTCTCAACAACTAGTGTGTGTCATCTCCCGGTCATGCCCGCTCTAAAATGTCAGTAACGGATTGTGGTTTGTGCTTTCTCGCCCCACAGGCAACGTGAGATAGAAACCGTCAAACAGTTACAAGAAGAAACTTCTGGCCAGGCAGAAGCCCTTGGTTTAGAGCTGCAAAAAGCTACAAAACAGCTTGAGGATGCCAGCAAACAGGTAAGGAACAGTGCAGTTCCTTCTATGCAGAAAACAAGCAAGCAGATGCAAAAGACTACGTACAATGCATCGCTGCTCTTAAGAAAGGAAATCGCATGTTCGGAATGGAGTGCCTCATTGCAAAAGTGGAACCAGCAGAGGAAGTAAAATTTGAGGGGGTGGTGACAACAGTTTGCTGATGAAAGAGGCAGCATTGCATATTTGTGGTGGCTTAAAAAAAAAAAAATAAAAAAAAACCAACCAAAAATAGCTTCCATACCAGTCCACCCCAATGTAAAAATGAAGAAGTTCAGAGGGAGCTTTATCACTTCCTGAGAAAGAACAGATGCAGTTTGGTTTCATTTACATGAACTGTAGAGGCTCCTTGTGTTAACCAGGCTGCTTTAGTTTTTTTCCCGTCCCTTCTTTTTTCTTAAATATTGTTTTGTGCTTAGGCAGAGGATCAAGTTGAAGCTTTTCACTCTGCTTGTGAGGAAGCCGCATCCTTGAAATGCAAGTTAGAGGAAGCCATTTCTGAGCAGCAAAAACTCAAGGATGTGAATGCAGCTTTAACAAGCATTTGCCAGTTGCTTCAAGAAAAGGTGGAAGACCAGAAAAGTGAGTAACTACTGGCAGTGTGCCAGCATTCACTCTTTCATGGGCAAATCCTTTATGGCTTAGTTTATGGCAAAGGAGAATAGGACAAACCTGCAGGTAATCTGGTAAAATGCTCTGTGGAGTCTGTCTTTCTTTTTTTTTTCTCCTCCTCTCCTTTCCTTCTGTTTTTCCTTCTCCTTTAAGAGATCTGCAACCATGGCATCTGGGCTGAGAATCAGGTGGGATCCTGATGAGTGGGTGTTGGGCTGGACCAAAGCTACAGAACCTCCTAACAAAATCTCCAGTCCTAGGAGGAAGGGTTAGTAACTCCCTGGGTAGCACTGGCACTCCTTTACCAAAGGTGCTGTTCCCACACCTGAATAGTCCACCTTATTCCTAACAAAGTCATCCCTCTTTCTTAAGGTTCCTGCATCAGAGACCTGGTTTTTATGTTCTGCATTCTGCTTGCTGCTTGTATTTGCTTTGTGTTTTTTGAATAACTGCATGGTACTAGGCTGTTCTCTTTAGTGAAAGCAATCCTGTCATTGCATCGTACACGTGCCACTTTTGCTACGGAACCATGGAAACTTCATACTACCTTTTGCTCACTCACTAACTTCAACACCTCAAAAGCCTGGGCAGTTAAAGAATGCAGTGTTTTGATTCCAGCACATGTGGCTTTTTCTTTCCAAATTCTGGAGTGCATATCACTTATAGGAAAAACATGTTGACTGACCTAAGGCCACTGAACGTTTGGCCTCACACATGCATTTCCCAGGGCAATGTGACTGACTGATGCTCAACGTATATGTGCATTGTAAACAACTTGGTGAAACTACAACTTGTCTCATAGGAGAAATTACATGAGACCCTATGTCTTAGTTCTAAGGCACAACTGTTATGCACTGATGTAGCAGAAACACCTCCAGACTGTGCCTGCTGACTTCTGACGAATATTTTGGCATTGTTCACGTGTGTGTGCTCATGTTGCTTTCATGCTTACTACTTCCTTCAAACTGTGGGGTTGGTTTTTTAGCAAGAGGCATAACGATGGAAATAGTGTGTCATTTTCCATCTCTGAATAGACAAAGATCTTCTGCAAAGTGAGCTAGGGTAAATGAGAGAACCCCAGATGTGGAAGAGACTGGTACCACTGTGACTCAAAAAAAACCCAAAAACAAAAAAAAAAACCAAAAACCCAAAAAACCCAAAAAAACCCCAAACAAACCACCAAACAAAAAAACCCACACCCCCAAACAAACCCCCAGAAAACACCACCACCCTGGAAATGGCTGAGACTTTGGCTTTAAATGACTCCTGGTAGTTTGCAGGAATCTCTTTCTGTAGATAAATAGAAATAAACTGGTAAATGTGTAGAGAAGTTGCAAGGTGTTATGAAGAGTAGGGCTGACAAACAAGGATGGGAGTGGGGGAAGAACAATGCTTTATATTGGTTCCTGCAGAAAGCCAGACAGGTCTAATGCCCCTTCTGACTGAAGGACTGGGTTGTGTTCTCTTCCCCACCTGCCTACCCACTCCATTCCCCTATTTCCTCCCACGCGCATGGTAAGAGATGAGAAATGAGGGAACTTGTCAGTCAAGAAAGCTACTTCAACCTAAGTCAGCCTGGCACAGCTCCTTCTATGTTTCGGATGTCTAATCATGGCTTGCCACTAATTGCTACAGCCCTCATCCAGTGAAACAGCCAAATGAGCTACTGAGAGCTGCTTTCAATTTTTGCTTGGGCACTGAGGTGGCGGTGCTAATGAAATCCCCTTTCCCTCCCACCCCCGTTATTAGCTGTGGTATAAAAGCTATGATAGACTTGTATCAAGGCAGAAGTCACTAGAGGCAGGCCCTGGCATTAGCAAACTTGAACAAAGTATGTTTCTAAGTATAATGTAAAGCCCATTGACTCTAAAACTTCTGTACAAGATGTCAAATTGGAAGGACAAATACTTCTCTTCCAATAAGTTGTAATGGAGTTGTCCATTTCCACAGGGAACTGTGGCACCTTAACGCGGATGATGTGGGGAAGCATTCCCCCCCTCCCCTTTATAGCAAGGGGAAATGTAACCACAGGGAAGAAAAAGTGCCCAGTGTTTTCTGGAACTCGCAAAACAAAATGCACTTTTAAAACTTCCTTTCCTGTGAAAAACTGTTGTAGATATAACTAGACTAAATCAAAGTGCAGTGGGTTTGTGATTGGCAGTAGTCAGGTTTAAAGACACTAACATCTGACTGCTTTTTATCAAATTATAAGGAATCCTGTAAGACTTGTAAATGTCTCTTCATAGCAACTGTTAATACACTACGATGGGAACTGCTTCAAAGGCGACTCTGTGAATTGCTGTGTCAGGTATGACGCTTGTCTGGTGGGAGAAGAAATGGTAGGCTTGCACAGGAGGTGCTCTGGTGGAAGGACATCTACAGCTGAGATGAACTGCTAGTAATTTGGTAGCGTCTGGTTTCTTCTCTTCTAACACGTACTAACTGTGGAGGCATTAACTGTATGTACTGATCTGTACATTATTATTTTCCTTCTTCAGCCTTCTGGGAAAAATGGGTTAGAACTTACAGGTGTGGCGTTGGTCTTTGCTGTAAACAGCTGTTGGTGATCACATCAAGTGGGGCTGAGGGAAGCTTTCCCTGATGCATTGGTGTGATTTGTCCCCCGCAATCAGCCCTCTCTTCTGCAGACAGTCTTGAAAACAAATGTTTAAAATCTTGTAAAAAAATATTTCACGGTATCCAGGCATTGGAATAGGCAGTGAAACAGTTATTACCTTTGTGCCCCTCTGTGGAAATATGTTGGAAATTATATAACTCTGGAGTACTTCGCTTTGAATAAAAATACTTTCTTCAAGTTTGGAAGGGGGTGGAGGGGGAAACATTGTGGGAGGACTTTTTTCCCGACCAGCTCTAGTAAGGAACGCTATAGCTCAGGGTCTGAACAGTCTGGATTGAACAGAGAATAACAAGGTATTTATAAAGACAAACAGAAGATCCTAAAACGTATCCTAGGCTGTAACAGGGGCATCAGAGGGGCAGAATCAAAGCTGTGGACCAGCTGCATGTGAACAAAATTTGTATTGTGCTTAAAGGTCTGCAGAATTAAAGGCTGAAAGTAGCAAGGGGGAAACAACTGCAGTTTTCCTGATAGCTGAAAATAGTTCAATCAGAAAGATAAAATTCTATTTTGTTCACAATCAGTAGTAGTGTTCCTTTTCTTTTTTTACCTTTTTTTTTTTTTTTTTTTTTTTTTTTTTTTTTTTTTCCTTTTCCCCCCTTTTTTTTTTTTTTTTTTTTTTTTTCCTTCTACGTCTGCCTGCCTTTAACTATTTCTCTGTTGCAACAGTGCTGTGCAGAGTTAGAATCTGACTACAGTCTACTGCCCACATCAGCTGAGCCGGTAAAAGGGAAGGTAAGTGTGCTTGCTATGACCATTGCTGAGCCTGTTAAAATGTGACACTAGTTTTGTTTGATTGGTTTGATTTATTTTTTTTTAATGACCTGAAGGAAATAAATAACTTTCCTTGTGAGAAACTTTGCCAAGTTAAACATTCAATAAAAGTAATTTGAGATACGTATTTATCTATATATGCATGCACATGTATACGCACATACAAAAGTATATTCAAAACCAGTTTCCTATTGCTTCTGAACAATCACTGTGACAAAATATAGGCATTTGATAAATTGCATTTTGAGAAGGATCAGAGGCTGAAGATGAGGCTACATCTTCCAATTTCTCTTCCATTTTTCATCCCTGAAGCAACATTAGGTCAAATGCAGCTGCATAAGTGTTGCTTCAGAAGTTTCCTCTAGCCATCTTCAGATGACACCTCTTCAGCACTAAACAGCAAGCAAGTGGTGTGCATTCAGGAGCAGGGGACAGTGGAGGCAGTGCTTTGTCTCCCCGCAGCTGAGCTGGAGATGCCCTGCTGCTGAGGGAAATCTGACCTGTGTAGCAGGTGCTGGGCACTGGATGAATGTTCCCCTTCTCAGTCAGTCTGGTTGGCGTGGCTGAAAGGGTTTTTGGTTTTTGTTTGGAGTTTTTTTGGGTTTTTGTTTTTCACAGGGGTGGGTTGGTTGATTGGTTGAGTGGTTTTTGGTTCTCCTGTCCTGCTTGTCTTCTCTAGTTTTGTAGTATCTAGTTCCAGACCTAGCTTGGACTAACATGTCTGTTGCAAATGTAAAGTTTAATTATTCTACCTCTTCCTCTATCTGTTCTGCCCATTAAGGATGTGAGCTTCTCTAGACAAAAAAGCAACAGATGATGCATTTGTATAACTGTTAGTATTACATTATGCAGATGCAACTGCGTGTGTGGGGGGAGTTGGTGGCATTAATGTATTCAGCGTGATTGAACAACAGCAGCACTTTCTATTTTTCAATTAGCAGCATCATTGCTCTAAACGACTGTGGAGTGAAGGACCCACCTTGTGCACTGAAATTCCCAGGACGCTGCCCTCGGATATTTCATACTGGCGTAGTACATCTCTGCTAGGTAAGACCTGGTGGTGTTGGCCATTTTTCTGTCTCTCTCCTGAAATATAGGAAGAGTTGATAGAACAGTATCAATGGTGCTAAACATGCTGGTAGTGTGTGGAAAATCTATTGTTGGCGTTAGCCTATTTCTGCATGTAATCCAGGAGGCTGAACCTGGTTTATAATGCTTGCAGTGAAAGGCCTGAAAAGGTGGCTGTCTGTCAGCCTAACAGGAGTCCCCAAAAGCTTAAGGAACTATTAGTATAAATCATATATCCCAGTATATTGCTGACAAGATACTTGCCGGTCTGGATCGAGAGGGCTTGAGTGACATTCTTCCCATTCGCTCTGTTGACTGGCACACACAGAGATAGCAAGCGATGTCCTGCTACTTTGCCACTGAGCTGAGGTCAGTCCTGGTTTAAAAACTTGAACGGGTAACATAGCTACTGAGAGTCAAATAACTGTATTTGTTGATTTCTCCTGCATTCATAAGGTGCTTGTACTTCCCTGCAACCCTTGAGCCTTAC